TACAATGTACGTTTCGGCACCTACAAATGTGAATTGAAGGATAATCGTCGTTGGAGTAGGTAGGTACCTAAAGAATTTTATCAAAATTTTGCTTTTGTTTCCAAAAATATTTCACACGTGAAAATTCCCACGACATTATAATGAAACTTACTAAATAATGTGTATAATATATAAACGATGATAGTATTTTAGCGCGGTAAAAACTGTCTATTTATCTAGACTTTACAACTTACAACTACACTCACGTGCAGTAAATCGTCAATATATTTTACTATCGTAAATGTCAAAGCCTCGGTTTTATATATGCCTATACTAACATTGGATATTATTATGAAGCTGATAATATAATCCTCCCAATTCCAATTTGAAACTTTTTACTATGTCAAAGAACAAGGGATTTTAAATTTTTTATTTTTAAAACAATGACTAAAATTTAAAACTAGGCGAATATAATTTATAAAATCATATCTACAAAGTCATCATCTGTGAAATATATAGGCATATGCGTCATGGTTTCAGCACCATTCGGTGCCATAATCGAAAAAACTATATAACACCCATCGTTTCCACGTTGGATACCTAGATTACCTACGTTAGATATCAACAAAATGCATATATATTATATCGTTAGTAATCAACAGGTAGAAAGGGGTAGGTACCAACGAATAATACATATATAATAACAATTTAAAAATACGGTAGGTACCTAACTTCAGTGTAACGCTGTGTAAGTAACCTACATGATTTTGACATTTTCGTTGTTGATCCAACTTCACAGTGTTTGTATAATATAATATTTGTTAATCGTGACATTCGTTGTATCTAGATACACTCAGTATACTCTTTTAACAATATTAGCTTAAACAATGTATGCTGCAAGGTTTTATGGTACCTATCCCCTATACAGATTATCAACAAGTTTCCCGAAGGGGAAAAGTATTAAAAATCCCAAAGAATATCCGTCACTATACCACTCCGATAATGCAATGTTATATTATAATAATATTACCTACCTATATTGTATTATTTTAATAAAATTGTAATAAACTAATAACCATGTTTCATAATATTCAACTAGGTATAATAATATATTATTGGTAGGAACCAACAGTGAAAAAAAAATATATTATAAACTACAAATCGTTTTGGACATTCTTCATAATTATTATATTATATTATATATACCTAGGTAGGTAGGTGCTTAACGATGTTACTATAATCGTATTAAAATTTTTCGTGAGGACTTTTTTTTTAATCATACATAAATATTGTACACAATCGGCTGTAAAAAAGTGTAAACATTATATTATATTCTTTCAATTAAATGTGTAAATTTTACCCTATGTATTTATACAATAATATATCGCTGCTTAATATTCGGAATTCGTTTTGATTTACTACCATATGATATCTTAAACATTAAGTAATTTATTCCAGTTCTTTGTCAGCAAAATAATGTGTTCAAATAAACTAAAAATAATAACACCTACACTATAATGCAGTTCGTCTAATGTTATTTAGGTACCTACTTAAGTTAATAATTATTTATAAATGTATATAAATATAATTATTGAAAATTCCCTGTAGGGGACATTTATTATCATTTTTTATTTTTCTTCTTACATTAAGTGCCGTCAACTTGAATGTAAATAATCGTATTTGTCTCTTTTGTGTATAAAAATTAAATTAGTTGGTTGAAACTAAGTAGAAAAACGATTAAATAGTACGTATACGATAGACAGAATATTACCTATGCCGAGACGGACGAACAGACGTGTCTGTCCGTCCATACAGACACAAGGAGGATGTGTATACCTACAAAAATATTATAAATAAAATATAATGTATATATAATGTATATATGTATATTTATTATTGAATTAATATAGGTACTATATTTCTAAATATTATTTGTGTAAATAAACCAACTGTATTTCAGAATTTGGTCATGAAATTGTTATCATCCTATTTTTTTTTTTTTACCTAAAAATTTAATATACTCACTATAATAAAACGGTAAAAACGTGACGAGTTGTTATAAATATTATTACCTACTTTGGAAAAAGAGTTGATTAAAATATTATTGTTATTTGAGTTTAAAAAAATATATATGTATAATTATGATGTTGTATTTAATTTATTTATTGAGAACGTTTTGTGTGACGTCCATGACCTACCTAATAATAAACAAAATACCTACACCAAAATGGATACATCTGTAATGGATATTATACACAATACACCCTTGAACATAATGGATACAGGTTATTATAGAATAATTTATATATTATAGGTAGGTAATATGCGGCCGAAATATAGTTCTATATTAATATTATAGTTACCTATCTATAATTGAACAAGCGCTCATTTCCATATTTTTACTTCAATCATTAATTCATTCAAATTCTGGATTTGGCATTTTTAAGTACGATATAGGTATTAAAACCTTATTTGATTATTATACCATTTAAGGATTGTTCAATGCCGATATAAACTGTTTTTTTTAAACAAGGATCTTTTTTTATGTTAGGTACCTACCTAATAGTTAAGCGGATTATTTTTTCCATAATGTTGATGTTTATAAATTGAAATTAAACGAGCATAATTATTAAACATTTTGTATACTGTACAAAAGAATAAGAATTAAGAATAATGGGTATTCCACGACAATAACTCAAAGATATGGAGGCTGTTGCATATTACCTACCTATATTATTCTGAGCGAAAATGTAACTAAAGGTTTTACAGTGAGACAGTTTAAACATACCTTATAAATTATAATGAAACTCAAAAGTTGTATGAATGGTATCAGGTATACATAAGTATACCTAAAGGTGTAGTTGCTGGGAATGGATAGAAACCAATGTAGAGAGGGACGCCAGCAGTCGCTGAGTGAACTTTTTTCCCCTATGAAGCAACACCTTAAATAAGTACCTACCCACACACCAATTTTTTCCTACTCTTTTCATACATTAAAAACGCACGTCGTAAATGACTATTCGCATATAAATTATAAACTAGTCTAAACATCTTTTAGAAACATTTAACTTTGAAATAAAAAGTTGAGCGTGAATCCACGATAATTTTTTACAAGCATTTAAAGTTAGCATTATAATATGTAACAAAATTTGTCAAAATCGCAAAAATTTAAAATTATTTTGAAATTAGAAATGCATACATTTTTCTTTTCACATCTAGGATATAAAAAAGCGGGGAAGTGGGTGTCCCTCTACTGTACAGTTGGTATCAAGTGGGTCACTGTAATGGATGGTGTTAAATTTGAATTCAATGATATACCTAATATCATTGTATTAGAAAAACGATTCTGAGCGAAGATGGTCAGTCAGACAGACTGATATATTACTTGGTATATTTGGTGATATTATTGTGAATAAAGCAATTTATAATATTAATATACAAATACAATTTTATTGACATTTATAGAAAAACTAAAAAAATTAGTCAAACTATTTTGAAAACTGTATAAAGTATAGGAATTGATAGTTAACATATTATATTAATAATATTATGGTATAATTTCAAGTAGGTATCTTCAATTATTCATTTTTTAATTACAGCAAATAAGAAAATAGCTACAAGAGATGGCTCTTTGAACGATTTTCTTATTAATGGCTCTTTGAAAACTACCGGGAATTTCAACATCTTCAAAGCCCCAACTAGATTCACTTTTCCATCGAAAAGATATTGAAGTTGAAAATCGAAGCATTATTTTGACTGCTCATCAGTTATCGTGTACACACAATAAAATAAAAAACCACTCATCTTTGTAAAATACATTCATTGCGGACATTTTTACCAAATATTTATATGACCATTTTCTATACACGTTAAAATTTACAAAGTATTTTGACTTTTGAGACATTTTAGAATTTTGCCTTTTTTTAGTTTTTTTCTATTAATGTTGATAAATAAATGTTCACTATCAATAATTTTCAAAATATACCACAATACAAGCTTAAAACTTTTATGTATATCTATCATACATTTTAGTTTTTACTTTATGCAATGACATTTTCAAAATATTTAGATTAATTTTAAGTTATTGCCTATTAATACCATGAACATATTCACACTGTATATTATCTCAAAAGTTAATAACAATACAATAATAATGATAGAAATATCACTATACTATTATAATAATTAATATAATAAATGCAATGTTTTCAGCAAAAATTAAATCAACATACCTTAATATTAATAAGTAATGGTAAAATAAGTTACTTTAATAGCAATATCAAAAAACATATCATGAAATATGCTTGATATAAGCTGACAGACCATCTCTGCTCTGAATTATTTTTCATGTATCATTGAATTCAAATACAACACATTCATTACAGTGACCCACAGTGGTGCCCATCTATTTTCCAATGAATATGCTTTGTTCAACTTTCAACACAGAAATTACCACTATTAGAGAGTGGCATATTTAAAACAGCTGAATAAATTGTACTTGCATAAATATCACAATATGCTTTACTGAGAAATAGGATAAAATAAAAACATTAATTTTTAAAGCATTGATTTCTTACATTATTATAAGATTTTAAAGTGCATTTTTATTAAAACGCAGATAATATATAATAACTTAGCATGTATATAAACACAATTAAAAAATGTAGTTACAATATAGTTTTTTCCTTATTGTCAGTATTAAAGGTTTACAATTCAATTGGCATTTCATTAAATTATTTTTCTGAAAAAAAACTAGATGTTTGTGACTAATCAAAATAATTAATGTTAAATGTATATTTGTGTAACACATAAAAACTGGAAGATAAATAAACGCGCTATTAATCGATATTATAATTAATAGGTTGAAATTAACAAACTATTATGATTCTTATTTTTTTAAAGATTACCTTATCTATAAAATTAAAACACAAATTACATGAAAATAATTATAAAGTTGTTTAATGGTAAACCATTCAACGTCGAGAAAAGAATTATTCGCTACAATAAAAACATAATTATAATTAATATCTATTACGATCTCTACGTCCTCCTCCTCCTCCTCCACCACCGCCACCACCACCGCCGCCGCCACCACCACCGCCACCACCACCACCACCACGATGATGGCCATGTCTAGGAGAAGGTGATCTGGTTCTACGTGTTCCAACATGATCACGTGAGCGACTACGTGAACGATGTCTGCGTGAACGACGACTATAAAGATATTTACGTAATTCTCGTGATATTGGCTTCAAGTGCATGAAATTGCAAAATCCACTACGAGTACACTCTCTAGAAAACAAAAATTAACTATATTTTAATAACAGATATTACAAACACTTCCAATAAATATACAAATTGACAATAAATTGATTAAGTTGAAATTCTATCCTTAACTTCTATTTCAGTTCTATTAAATTCTAAATAGATGCATTGTTTATAAGTTCTATTTGAACGTCACTATAAGTTAATTCTACTGTTTTATTTTTTGTTTCTATCCTCACCCCATTTCATACTGACGGCAACAGGCCTCTCGGAAATCTGTTACAGGACTTAATTCAGCATAAACTGGACGTCCACCAAACCATCGGTTATTTAAATCGTTAACAGCTGCTTCTGCATGTTCTTCTCGACGAAACTAGTATTTATCAAAAAATAAATATAAAATATAGTGAATAATAATAATAAGCCATTAACAATGTTTTAATTTAATATTTTTGATAAGAATAAAATTAGACTTCCATCAAAAATTGATCAGGCTCGAAAAAACAATTGATATACAAATAAATGAGCTTAATATAAATAATGATTCTTAAAAACATAAATATATTTTACCTTGATATAAACATTGCCAACAAGATGATCTCCTAAGTTGTCACAAACATTCATTTCTTCAATTTCACCATACTAAGTAAACAAATAATTTAGTTTAATATGATTAATACAAATAAATACAATAATACATGTTATATTAATACAAACGGGTATAATAATTTAAAGTTATTGTCTGTATGAACAATGAACATTAACAAGCTTATTAATTTGGGCAAAACTCAACTTGAATCTATTTGTAATTAGTTTAAGTTTAACTTGAAAAGTTTAAAACTGAGATTTTTACCTTGTCTTCACATTCTACGAAAACATCTTCAAAGAAATTATCATAATGTTCTTGCATTTCTTCATCAGTTACATTTGAAACCACTAAAATACAAAATATAATGAATACTAGTCATAAAATATATTATGTCACATGCATAAACATGCTAAATAATAATAGGTACATATTTTTAATTAAAAAATGATATACAATCTTGTATACTTTAAAATGTTTTAAATATAATTTATAGGTTTTAATATTAAATAAAATATTTGACTAATAACAAATAATAGCTTATAAGTAACCACACACATTTGCTTAATAAGCATATTAAATTACTTATATTATCACCTTAATATAAATCAACGTATGGTATTAAAAATATTTAATAATTAGGTATATAATATCTTAGAGAATGGTTATATTTTTAATATAAATGTGTAAATAAACTAATATGTATTACAAGACAAAATATGTTCATGATAAAATCATATTTTAAGAGGACGTAACAGCGAAAAAAAAATATGGCATAAAAATGTATGGTACTGGGTGAGTGAAAACTTTATAGTCCCTCCACTCAGATTTGTAATCTCCATCATATGAGTTTATTAATTATTTATTGATATTTATTAATTTGATAATTTTATTTTACGGAAGAAACATATAATTATTATTAGGTACCTACTACCTACCATAGGTGTTAATCACAAATAATCAAACAGTCATACCGATCAATCATCACAGTATGTATTTGTTCGTGTTTCATAATATAATTATCATTAAATTGAATTTTAAGGATTTGTTAACACGAGCGCCCAATATAAGTCCAAAAATATTAATGAAATGACAAATATATGTGAAAATGGCCACGAAACCGTACATGGCAGAATTTATGTGACAAACAAAACTAAATAATGGTGATCATTTTGAAATAATTTTAAAAGATGTAGCATAATTTTGGGAATCATGGAAAATCTTAACATTTTTATACATTTTTTTACATTATATCATTATTTTATATTTATAGAATGTATTTATTACTATGGATGGCGGGGCTATACCAAACCGGTACCAAATGTACTTTTATACTTCCAATAACATGGCTTACTGAAGAGGTTTGAAGTAAAAATTCTATTATAAAATTGTTAAAGGAATTATCTAAAATCGTAAAATACCAGAATATTGATATTTATATTAATAAAGTGGATGAAAATTGTTTTATAATAAAATATAAAATATAAAATATTATTTTAAGATTTTTCTATGATTCAACTATTGAACACCATTTCTGACTAGTGACTACCGTATTTTACATAAATTAAACTTTGTATAGAAAAATGTTTATGAATCAGCCAAAAAACATATGATTATTAATGACATATTACTTTTTTAATTGTAAACAATTTTTTTATACCTATTATAAATATTTTTCTTTGAATAATTCTTCCATAAATAAATTTAAATATAATACATAACTCATGTATTAAATGTTCAAACCTTAGGTGTGTTAAAAGTGGGCAAGTAAGTAACCGCTCTAGTGTACAGTGGGGGTGGAATTTTACTCATCAATGGGTAGTAGGTAACTATAATGAATGTCCTTAATTTGTATTTAATCATAAACTATTGCATATGAAAATGAATTCTAAGCAGAGACCATCAGTAAACTTATAGTAATACTATATTAATTTATCATACATTTATATTGCAAGAAATTATTATAATTTATTTTACTATTAGTAAATAGTAACACCATAGATTAAAATATATATTAAACAAATATATTCAATCTATGGTAATACAATATACACTATAAATAGGCAATATCTTAAAAGTAATATAATCAGTGGCGTATTTACGGAGGAGGGAGGATTAATCCCTTTGATCATACCCCATAGGCTATATATAATACACAAACATTTTTGGAGTCCTAACTTTAAAGACGGGGCTACTGGATAATTATATCCCCCCCCCTAAGACAAAAACCTAAGTATGCCACTGAATCCAATTATGTACAGAAAATGCTAATATAAACATTTGGTGAAAATTTCAAGTATTTTAGATTATTCATTTTTGAATTACAACAAAATAAAAAAATAGATTTAGTCAAAAACTAGTTCTATGTAAAAATTCCCGTTTTTCACTTTTTTTTCCCTTTAATTGTTAAGAAAATTACTGAGAATATATTACTTTGGACCCTGAGTACCAAATAGATATATTTTAAAACCAGAAAAGATATTCATGAAAATCTAAGCATTTTTACTGCCAGAAAGATGACGAGTGATGACCAACGCAAAAATTACGATTCATACGATACACAATTTGGTACAAGGTCCTCAAAATTAAATAGTAAAGCAATACTAATAATATATTAGTTATAGATTTAAAAAAATAAAAAATAAAAATACTTGTTATATTAAGGTATGTTATGATCAAATATTGGGCAGATTCTAAATTGAAACAAATAATTTACCATATCATAACTCCATAGGTATTTAAAAAATAAAGATAATATCTATCAAATATCTTGAAGGAGTAGTAAAACAACATATTTTGTTTATACTGGTCAAAATCCCATATTGATGCAAACATCCATATTCACTCCTATAACAGACAACCTGAATTGATTTAGTAAAATTCATTAATTTTTTTCTATTCTTATTTTAAATAAATAATGAATGAAAATGGCTATTAAAAAAATTAATTTAAATTTTAAAAACACTGACGAGTCGTAGTCTTCAAGCTAGAGCAGAGTCTTCAAGCTACAAAGAGTACACTCTTTCAAGATATTTGACAACGACTGTAAACATAAAAGTAAAAAATTAAACCTAATAATTACTTTGTATTTCTAGATAAAGTGGTTAATATTAATTGAAAAATTATTATTTATTATTTTGAATTGGAATTTGTACATCAAAATTAAAATAATAATAAAAAACCTTTTCCACCAGTTGATTTTGTAAATGAATAAATTCCAATCATATTATTACGAATTCATATAATTTGTTCATTAAGAAATATTTAATTTAAACAAATTTATAAATAGTTCTAACCGAATAAAAATGTTTTTAAACCCATAATGATTTTGGAACATAACCAATAATAATAAAATTATATTATATTACTCAAAGATATATAATATTATAATTAAATTATATTACCAAGTTAATCAATTTGAATTTGTAAAAACATATTGTTTTAAAATCCTATCGTTTAAAGAAAATACTATATTAATTTAATTAACATCAAAAACAGTAAGGCATTTTTATTTTTGTATTCATACAAGGAAACTATATCATTATATTGATTATTATTACTTACAGTGTGATCCATCGGCAGACTTCGCAGAATTTTGTGGGTTTACATAAAGATTTTGCAATAGTACAGTCTAAAAAAATAAAATTAACAAAGTTTAAATTTAAAACTAGGCACTAAGAATGAAATCATAAGTTATAACAAATAATCATAATATTTCTACCAAAAATAAAAGTAAAGATACTTGTGACCAAATAACAATATTAATGTACCGATAACAATTATTTTTTTTAAAAAAACATTGGTAGATTTATAGAGGTCACTTAAAGCTGTATTGCTTGAATTAACCTATGAGTCTTCAGGTACTTTGGAATTAATATTTATTTTAGCAACGGGCTTACAAAACTTTAGATTTGATCTACTACAATATTTCTAAATTAATATGACGCCTATGAGATAATTGGAGATTACCAGGCAGGATTTATGATAGGAAAATCAACCTTGGATCAAATAAATATCATTCAACAAATAACCGAGAAAAGTCAAGAATTTGACAAGGATATACACCTCCTCTTTATAGATTTCAAAGCTGCTTACGATTCAAATTAATAGAAACAAACTATAGAATGTAATGTGCGATTTAAGTATACCTGATAAGCTTGAGAGATTAATTGCATGAGTACAGGGATTAAAGTGCAAAGTGAAGTTTGGAAACACGATTTCGGGAGACTGATGTAGTGACTGTGCTAAGGCAAGGGGATGCCTTATCCCCTGCATTATTCAATATAGCGTTGGAGTCAGTAATCAGAGATACCTTGGTCACAGCAAATGGAGTTACAGTACTGATACTGATTATTTTTTTTAAATTAGTGAAAAAAGTGACAAAAATATTTTAAATAGTGAAAAAAGTGACCAATGTTTTTTTTTAATTATTCAAAAGTCATCATAAGTTATTTTTAATAAATGATGCAAGTAACTAGCTAACTATTTTAAATAACATGAAAAATATATTATAATATACATTTATCTTTCCACTTAAGTAATCAAGTAATCAAGTATTTGTACTTGTAGTTAATGTTAGTTGTTTAATATTAAGCTTTATGTGGGAATTTTGTTTGTGTTTTTTGGTAGCTGCATGTTGAGTCAGACTTTGAAAACCTTTTTTAACATCAACAGTACATATACAAATAGAACAAAATATTTCACTAGAACAATCAGTTTTTCTGCCCCAATCTGATACTTTGTATCCTTGCATATCATCTTTAAAAAACCAGTCATCTCTTGCATTGCATTTAGGCATTTTTAAATTTAAAATAAAAACTTAACAAATTAAGCAAACTGAACAAACTAACACACCAAATATCATAAAAATTAAAAACGTGATTTGTGCAGACACGTAATCAAAACACAAAAATTTGTCATTCAATTTATTATAAGTACATTATGTGGTTTAAGTAATGAATAATAAAGATTAAAGGTTAAGGAACAAAATGGTTAAAGATATTATTAATTATAATATCCATGGCTAAAAATATAAATATATATTTAGCCAAGGATACTAATAGTATCTAGAATATTCAGGATTTCATAGAAAAATATACAAAGACATTGATATGAAATTACACAAGAATAATCATAGATAATCACGGATAGGCCATATTTGTATTGTTACCGTGGTTGTATTTACCTTCGACCATATAAACTATATAACTTTATATGGTCGAAGGTATTTACAACCGTAATTGTTACGGACAACCATGATAGCCACATACACAATTGAAGATAGTACTATCTTAAGAAAGAACAACTATCTTATCTTATATTATCTATGAGAATAATATTTTATCAACATCTAATTTCCAAATTAATAATTTTAGGATTATGATCCAAGATTCACAAAAAAAAAATATAGCCAAAATTTAAATAAAAAGTGAAAAAAGTGATCATATTTGAACGTAGGTCTGAAAAGTGACTAAAAGTGACTTAAAACAGAAAAAAGTGACTTTTAGTGATTTAAGTGACTCACTAGCAGTCCTGGAGTTAAAATCAGAGTTGATAAACAATTACTAGTGGCCGCATACGACATAGTCATAATGGCAGAAGATGAAGCGAATCTAAAGAATACTACAAGAAATCTACTAGAAAATGGAAAAAAATAGGGTTAACAATAAACGAGGATAAGAAAAAATACATGGTCATAACTAGAAATAACAGTAGAGCAGGACATTTGAATATTGATGACTACAAATTTGAAAGAGTGGATGATTTCAAATATTTAGGGGTGGACATTAACACGGACGCCAAAAGCCATAACAAAATAAATATACGATTAGTAGTGGCAAACAAATGCTATTTTGGATTGGTACCTCTGTTTAAATCAAAGATTTTATAATGGAAATCAAAAATAACCCGTTACAAAGTTCTAGTAAGACTAGGAGCCTTGTATGCATGTAGTGCGAGGGCTACAACAAAGTCGGACAAACTCAAATTAGCGATCTTTGACCGGAAGATATTAAGAAGAATCTATGGACCCAAAAAAAACAATGAAGGTGAATATGAGATGAGGACAAACTAGGAGATTAAAGACGTATACAGAGAAGCGAACATCAATGGGATGTAAAAAAGTAGTAGATTCAGAGATCAAGAGAAAATAGTTGGACAAGTTACAGAATGGAAACCAAATACAAAAAGACCAAGAGGACGTCCCAGACAAAGATTGAAGGATAGAGTGGACAAGGACTTAGAAGAGCTTGGAATTGAGAATGGAGTTGAACTGGCTAAGGAAAGAGATCAGTGGAGGCAAGTGGTTGTTGTGGCAAGGGGCCTAAATGGCTTGTAAAACGCCATAGATAAATAGATAGATAATATGGTGCCTAACATAAACGATTAATTAAATGTATTGTTTTGAATAAAGAAAACTAAAGCGTTAGGTGAATCGTAATAAAACTATATGAAATTTTAATTTACAGTGGAATGTCAAATATTCCATTATACTTAACTTTGATAACTTGTAAAACACCAATTGGTTAAATTCAAAATTGCAATGCTCAGAGGTTCTCTAGGAATTTAATTACCATATTTTAAAGGCCACCTGTTAGGTATCCATGTAGTACACAATATCCTTGTTTATTTAAAATAGTAATATAGTAGGTAGGTATGTAATAGTTTAAATGAGTCAATATTTTTTTCTAAATCAACAAATTTGTATATCATGTAGAGGCATGTATTAAACGGAACTCTAATTTACCTATAGTGATTTGGATTTTTGATATGACGTCAACTAACATTTTTCAACAAAAATGTTTTAATTAATTTTTTTTTAAAAAATCCACATTATTTATATAGTTAGCGTTCTGTAAATACCTGTACAGATACATTAATATTATATATTTTAATCAGTTGCTAGTACAGTCTCCTAGTCAACTAGTCTTTTAAATTTTCATCATGAAACAATTAATTAGTTAAATCTTATAGAGTATAAAGAATATTTCAATGAAAACTTACCTGACTGAAAGTAGGCTTATTGTGTATTCTTGAACAGCGATCACCATGACGGCAGGCGCCGATTTTAAAATAAAATGAACAGTTGACCCTAGGAGGAAAAAAGGTGACGATTATAACCACGCATTATGAGTGATTAAATTTTACAAAGACCGCATTCAACGGCAATTCATTCCAGTTTTAAAAAATGGATTCTAAATCGTATAGAAATAAAATATGTAACTACAACCGACCGAGCCGGTTGGTGTTGTGCCACCTCAAATGCTTACTTATCCTTCTCGGTACCAAAAATGGATGCCAGGTACTCGGCCATGTCGACGGTTCGATATCCAAACTAGGAAGATGTCGTAAAAAAAATCATAAAACGTAAATAATTTGCGTAAAATAGTTCAGAACACATGCCTGGTGCCGGATAACCGATGCCGAATTGCAAGAAATTTGTCGAAACTTTTCGATTCGTAGATTTTAGTTGGTTTGTTGGTACAGAAGTTAGAGCCGAAAAACATACCGTACGTAAGAGAAAAAATTCTGGCCGGGCGTCATGGAAGAATGAAAAAACTGTTTGTATCTCCGAAGAAGTAAACAAACGTCCTCGACAGAAGTTATCAATTTATCATCGTTGATACTTGATACAGGTAACGACTAACGAGTCAACGAAAACAACAACCAATTTCATTATGATGATTTTTTTTTTGACGTGTTTTGACCGTGAAATGTGAAAATAATTTTGTGTTTTATATTATTATTACGAACTATTAACGTGATGCATTTATATTTTCATTATGCTCAATGTCCACAATATGACTTGTGTATTGTTTGTTTATCAAATTAAATTAAATCACATACTATGAATCACATTGATGGAACACATTTAGTTTGTTTTAAACTGACCACTTAGAACTGAAAAAAAAAAATTAATAACCATGTCGGGTAAACCAAACTGCATATGAAAATATGACATTAGTAGAATAATAGCTTCGAATATCTTATGCCAAAACATTATTGTTTTGTAAACCAAATTTATTATAAACAAACAATTTGCAGGATCAAAGCGTTATGGATCTAGCTCGTCATATTCGTCACACAGTCCCCCTATTCCTGAACGTTGGATTAAATGCCCTCGTAAATCTTATACAACTATAGCTGAAAAATTTGTGGCATTCAAAACACCACTTGATAGTAAATATGACGATCAAATACCTATCGAGAATAGGTTCAATACAGAAATGTTGTTCTCATCAATGTCTAATATGAAGGTGAAGATATTGCATAATACATTATATAAAGTTAACAGTGATATTTTTCTAATGAAAATACAAATTGTGAATGTTTAAATATTCTTTTAGTTGTGGTTGTGGTCTTCAATCTTTATAAGAAAGTTAATAAGGAACTCTAACCAGGACTTAAATTATAAAGTGGCAATAATAGTTATAAGAATTATCACAGTAGCTTGTATTTATCATAACCTACATGATAAAATATATTTATTCTATAATGGGGTTTACTTAAATATTAACTCAGGCGGTTTAAAAACAGATGATATCTGTTTAATTTCTTTTGAAATAATATAATATACATTCAGTATTATATTATTATTTTTAATTAGGAGGCAATAATAAATCATAACATTTAGAAAACTGCTCTGATCAAAGCTTGACAAGTATCCTTTATTTTCAAACTGTTCCTTGAGGTATTGAAAAAGAGAACCATTTATGTTTAATCTTAAAATATTCATTACATTAGTCATGAACAGTTTGGAATATATTTACTGTTCCATTAAGTGTTATCTGGTAAAATGAATACCAGTTATTACATTCTGCTCAGAATCTAAAATTTTAAATTTTATTACCTGCCATAATTGCTTATTTTATGTATATTTAAGTGCATTAAAATATTAATGTTATTTTATGTATTTAAATTTTTTTTAGGTAACTATAGGTTTATGGATTGATCTGACAAAAACCAGTCGTTTCTATAACAAATCTGAAGTCGAAGATTCGGACTGTAAATATGTAAAAATCCCATGTGCTGGTCATGAACAACCTCCTACGCGGGAGCAAGCACAATTATTTGTAGATATTTGTTCAAAATTTATTGCAAAAAATCCTTTGCTATCCATTGGTTGGTTGTAATATTAATATATTTGTTTTATTTTTACCTATAATTAATCATTTTTTTTTTTTATCTAGGTGTTCATTGCACTCATGGTTTTAACCGAACAGGATTTATGATAGCTACTTATTTAATAGAAACATTCGATGTTAGTGTAACTAGTGCCATAGCTCAATTTGCGGCAGCTAGGTAAAACATTATTTATACTACTTCTTTTCGAAATAGTTGAATTAATTTATGGCATTCAGTGAAATTCTTAGTCATTACACATTACCAATTTTTATTAAACATGTTTTAAACAAAAAGATAATAAAATTAGGTTTATGAGTTAGATAAAAGTTATAAGTGAAATAAGTTTTTCCTATTTTCCCAAATAAAATAGTACCTAAACATAATTAAACATTCATAAATGTTGTTCTTACAACAATTTTAAATTGTATATATTTTAGACCTACTGGAATTTACAAACAAGATTATATAGTTGAATTATTTCAACGGTATTCAGATGATGAAGAACCTATACTAGCTCCAGAACTTCCAGATTGGTGTTTAGGTGCATATTGCCAATATATAGAATATTCAATTTGTATTAGATATATTTGTTAAATTTGTAAATAAATAATGGAAATACTTATCATTTCAGAATCAGAAGAAGATAATCATAATTCAAGTAAGTTTGAATCCTCTTCACGAAATAAACGTGACTTCAGAGATCAAGACCCTAAAGATAGAAGAGAACATGAACCGTAATTATTTATTTCAATATTCACTTAATATAACTAAAAATAAATAATTATTTGGTTAGTTGTTTAATAATTATACAATGTGATTCACCAAGCATTCCCCAGTTTACCCTTCAATTATATGCATTCATTCAAATTCTGATTTTTGAAATTGTTATGTACTTGAAGACCATTTTTTCAAATACTTGCAATACTTCTAATAATGTTTTATGCCATTTAAAGAATGTCCTAATGATACTGACTTCTTTGTTTCTAAAACAAATTTAAATAAGTTGTTTGTGAGTTTTTAAACATGCTATAACTAAGATATGAATTCTATATTTTGTTTTATGTTATTTGAATAAAATAAAATTAAACAAAAACTTATTATCAATAAATTTATAATAACAACATGCATTTATATAATCCGTTGAATATGTTGACTCCAAAAAAATTGCTTAATAAAATGTGATTTGCTTGAAAACGCAGTAGAATCAAAAATACCCGAATAATCTGCTTGGTGACAAACAGTTGATAATCAGTTTCTGGTAGAAGTAATACTAACTCAGTACACACCTCAGTTATAATAACACAAAACAAAAAAAGTTATTAAATTGCATAGTTGAACTGGGTGGGTATATTAACCAATAGCATTTGTCATTAATATGATGTATATTTTTAATAAACCTATTTTTTATCATTTATCAGACTTATATAAGGTATCCTATTTTTGTCTTAAGTTATAAAAATATTGTATTCTTCTACTTTTAAACTTAGATTTTAAAGTAGTTATAATAATTCAAAATAATTCATTGTCACTATAATGGTGGTGAGCATGCTTGGAGAATCTGTACAACAAATGTATTAATTTTTTTTTTGTATAGTTCTAGTAAACGATCAAGAAGTGAAATGATTAATCGTAACCCAGTATTTATGGAAGGTGTATCTGGTGTTACTGCTATTTTTGATCAACCCAGATTAGGCAACATTCAAAAAAGAACTCAAGACTTATGTAAATGGAAAAGGTGAGATGCATGTAAAGGATAATATTAAATATTAATAAAATACAGAATTACTTAATAATAATTATTAATATAAATAAAAAAACTTTTTCTATTATACTCGGTTCAGCGAGAGAACGCACTGATTCTGCACATGCTACCGAAAACTGGTTCCCCAATGGCAGAGTGTTGTGTGGGAGGAACCAGTTTTCGGCGGTGTGGTCTACCGCTGAACTGAGTATATATATAAACATGTAATACTGATTAATCCAAGTATAGTAATTATTAATAAGTCAGTTAAAACTTATGAAAAACATAATTAAAATAACAGAATTCAGTGGTGGCCGGAAATAGTGTAGGCTTTGAAGCATATTGTATATTTTAAATATTTTTACCACCGTACTCTTCATTGAACCAAAATTAGCAGCAGGGGCCATTAATAATTATTAATTATAATATTTACCATGATATTTTTGTTGAGGTCTTACAATTATATATATATTAAAACACCCACCCACCCATTTCAGACATGAAGCAATTGCTTAAAATAATCCTATATCCCGCTGCCACTAACGGAATTCTTGTATCAATATTGTATTAGTCGTTTAGTAAAAAATTTTAAAAAATTGAAAACAATTTTCTATACATATCTTAATTCTTGCATAATCAAATGTCGGACAATTTATTTCATAACAACGAATAAAATTGTATAATATATACTTCCAATTCTTAACTATTATATATATTAATTTGTAATATGCTCTTATTATGTTATACTAAGTTTTTTTTTTTACAAATTGTATAGAAATGGATTTCCTGGATCTCAGCCAGTGTCTATGGATATTCAAAATATAAAATTATTACATATAAAACCCTACCGTGTTACGTGGAAAGCTGACGGTACTAGGTAATATAATATCTTAAAAATATTTTAAATAATATTTTTTTTCCTTATTAAATAAAATTAAAATAACTTGTGTTATAATCGTTGAATATTGTATATTTTATAGATACTTAATGTTTATCCAAGGTGAAAATGAGATATATTTTATTGATAGAGACAACAGTGTATTTGAAGTTGAGGGATTGACATTTTTACACAGAAAAAATCTAGATCATCATTTGAAAGACACTTTATTAGATGGTGTAAATAGACTTTAATCAGAATATTAATTTAATATTTGTCTAATATACTATATCCCTAAAATCTTAATGTTTTAGGAAATGATTATTGATAAAGTCGATGGACAAAATATACCTCGCTATTTAGTATATGATGTAGTTGCATTTGAAGGTTTTGATGTTGGTAAACAACCATTTTATCCAAACAGATGTATGCTAATAGAAGTGAGTACAAAGTATACAATATGGTATCACAAAATATTAGTTGACTTTTAGCAACTCAAAATTCAATGAGACTCAAAGAAATATGAATGATTAACCTAACTACAAACAGCTATAACTTATAAGTTAAGCAAACGTTTTATGAAGATATATATATTTTGTTTTACCATTTTTTTTTAGGTTGATATAATTAAACCCAGACATCAGGCCATCGTTTGTGGTCGTTTAGACAAAGCTCAAGAACCATTTAGTATTCGTTTGAAACAATTCTATGACATTAATGCTTCTGATAAATTGCTGGGAAATTTTAGTAAAAATTTATCTCATGAACCTGATGGTCTCATATTCCAACCATCAACTGACGTACTGTTATATTTATCACTTAACACTTACCAATATATAGATTGCCAATAACTTATATTTAATTTTACATAGCCTTATGTAGCTGGTACGTGTCCTGAAGTTTTGAAATGGAAACCATTGGAACTGAATTCTGTTGATTTTAAACTTAAAATTGTTACGGAAGGTGGAACTGGGTATTAATATATTGTGTAACCTATAAAAAAATGAATTGAATATATACTAACAGATTATGTACGTTTTAGAATGTTGGAATCAAAAGTTGGATATTTGTATGTAGGTGGTAAATCTGATCCCTTTGCCAGAATGAAATATAATAAAGAACTTAAAAATATGGATGGAAAAATAATCGAATGCAAATTTGAAAATGGAAATTGGAAGTTTATGCGAGAGAGAACTGACAAATCGTTTCCAAATGCTCTCAAAACTGCAATAGGTATGTACATTTTAACATATTAATTAATTTGTTTCACATAATTATTAACTAATTTTGTTTATAGCCATTTGCCACAGCATCGAAACACCTGTTACAAAAGAAATTCTCTTAAAGTATATACAACAAGCTCCACGTAGATGATGTTATGTGTACACAATAACAAAATATGTAATTGCTTAATATGTTTCATAACAACTTTATTATACATTTTATTCTGTATATAAAACAATTTATAAGTTATTATAAGATTTTAATTAAGTTTATATTGATAAATATTATAAAATCTGACATAAATTAAATAAAAACTTATGTCCTTATAATAAATATATATCAAATGTATAATAAATTGTGCATCATGCAATTAGTTATCATTTTTTATACTTATTCAATTTAGGTAAATCTTTGTTTTTATTTCGTCATGGTTTTTCAAATAGGTGTTATAAAATACCATAAAAAAAATTAACAAGTAAATACACACTGGTAAAAAGCCAGAATGAGTGATATAGAATTATAGAATAGTAAGTTGTACTTTAAATTGTAATAATTTAATATTTTTAATGCAAAATGTAAGTAATCTTAAACACAAATAACTATTATAACATAATTTATTACCAACTTTAGTTGAAGTTGTAATCTCAATGTTTATGATTATTAAATATTTAGAAAGTAAAAAAATATCAGTAGTCAGTACCTACTACCTACCATATCCATATGCATAGGAGTAATTATGGTGGGGGTGGTTTGGGAGCCTTAACTCTCCTAGATGAAAAATCTCAAAATTTTGTACTTACTACTTTTAGCCCCTACCCAAAAAATATGAGCTATAGTTGCGCCTATGACTATGGTTTTTTAATTGTGTTTATTCTACAGAGTAATAATAATAATGGTAACTTTTACATTTTTGATAAATATTTCCCTCTATAATATTATTAGGGCGGTGTCATACCATGCGTTTTTGCCGTAACGGTGAAAACGCAGGCGGTAGCCCCATGAAACAAAACGCATATTTTTAAATGTTAGATGTCATACTATCCGATGAGGCGACCGCAACCTACTACATCTCTAAATTTTGCAGTACCGGAATACAGATCAAACATATTATATCCAATGGATATGGTCATACCATGGTACGTTTTACTGCTCCGATATATATATATATTTTTAATGTTCCACCGCTCACTTCAACCGTGCAGTATGACACTATCTGGCAATGTGGGAGGTGAATAAACCGTTGGGCCAAAAATGCATAGTATGACACCACCATTCCCAAAGTGTATTCTGTGGAACCCTAGGGTTCCGAGAGACTATCTCAAGGGTTCCGTCAGATGTATGTGATTATTGAGAAAATTATTTTATATTATACTTGGATTATTTATATAAAAATTATTATTTTATATTATTTAAAAAAAGTTCACCTAAATAATAGTTATTATAGGATAATAAAATATTTGCAACTAACAACTAATATTAGAAAAGTTATTATCGAACATTTGGAAAACCTCGAAAAATCATTGTCTCGGTATTTTCCTGCTACTTATAATGACATTGATTGGATACAAAATCCTTTTGTGAACCAAAAAAAACCTGCTGTTATCCCTGCTCGAATATGAGCATTTAATTGAAATTAAAAGCATGTCATCCTTAAAACAGAAATTTGAGTTTTGGATTGAATTTCAAAGTACCACCTTATTAAATTTATTGAATGAGTACCTAGTTGAAAAAGCTATTTTTACTCTATTACCGTATACAGTCTATAGAGCCTACCTATTAGAGCCGCTCTCTAATTATTACTGTGTATTTAGTGGATTGTGGATATTCCATAATTCCCATACATTTAACACTGCAGAATATAGAAAGTTATATGTTAGGTTTGAAAGTTGTTGTATCAGCATATTTTTTCTGGGATACTAGATGTATTTCTAAATAAGTTAGAAAGTTTCAAGACACTACAGAAAATAAATTATTATTTTTTGCATATACATATTGTGATTTTTAGTTTTTCTTAATTTTATATTTTTTTAGAACAAATATTTTACAGTTTGAAGAGTATACTTTAATGATTAATTAATAATAAAATTAAAAAATTGACAGTTAAAATATAGTTTGTACCATCATTTTAAAGTTATTATTATAATATTATATTATTGTATCATGTTATTTAAATACCTAGATTATATTAATAACGATGAGCAATTTGTTTTAGCTTTGTACATTACAATGTATATAATGGAAAAATTATTATAGGTAAAGACGGTCAATCAAAATAAAATAAATACATATTGTCTATTTATTTATTTATTTAGATTCTGAGTGAAACGATGAATGTGTAACGTGCTGGTAACTGGGTGCCTACTATTGTAGTATTAATAATAGACAAGTGGCTACCAGTACGTAAACGTTGCAGGTCGCAGACACTTCTTCAGATGATATAGTCGTGGTTGATGACAAAATAATATAAACAGTTGTTGTATAATTGTGAATTTTATTATTACACTTCAATAATTTTTCTAAATTCAAATATTGTCGTACAGAGTGGTGTGAAGGTGCTTGCACTAATGGGTGGTAGTACACGTCTGAATACAGGCTGATTGGGGCTCCCTTATATATGAGGTTCCCCGTACCCCTCGCCTATAGATACTGTATCAAGACTGTCACGGATGTAATTTGTGTGGTCATCGTTCCAGCCTACGCATTAACGATTGACGCATTACCAAAATATGATTATTATTAAAATAATCATTTTACTCTTTTATATTTGTATATCGTCGTGTTTAGTGTTTCTGTAAATATTACATCTGCCTATTCTTGAACCCTTCATCCTGAGCTATTCAGTGAGCCTCCTTAGGTTTGAAGGAGGAAACCCCAACCCATTTCCGTTCTTAATGTCCGACTATGCCGGTCTACCGTATAATATGATAACTATGCACCTGTGGAATTGGTTTTATTGTTACGTAGTAACTTGCTTACTACAAATGTATTGATTTTACAATGATGTGTTTTTTTATTTTTTTATCTGTCATCACCTTTTAGGACAGTAAAAATGTTTAGATTTTCTTCAACAGTATCTTTTCTGATAGAAAAGTGAAACTAGTTGGTACTTGGGGGGGTCAAAAGTAAACATTTTCCTTTAGTTTTCAAAAGCACTGTGAAAAACAAAAGAAATATTAAGGAAAAACGCTAAATCGATTTTTTTTTATTGTTACTCTAAAACAAATATTATTGGGATTAACATCAAGACCGTAATTGGAGGGGGTCCAGGGTGTTTCGGACTATAAGTAGAAACATTTTAGTAGTGAATATAGTTAATTTACTATAATTGTATTAAGAAGAATTTTATATTCGTTAAAGCAGTAATTTGAAATATGATAATAAAATGTATAAATTATCATTTTATTTTATTTCAACGTTGTAATAAAGATTATGATTAATAGGTAAGATTAACTGGATAGGTATTGTCAAAACATAATAATCGAATTTAGGGTGAGTAGTTTTTTATGAGTTATAACAATAACTTATACCTAAGTATTTTGCGGTTTTGATGAGCGGAATGGTGTGGTACGGGGTTACCCGGCGAAATGTTTGTACACTACTCCTCTCACCTAAACTTTATAACTCATAAACTATTCGGCATAAATTCTATTTTTATGTATTGAAATACCTACTAAGAAAAATATTCTGCTTTGGAATATGAAATTAAAACTGTTATCATTCAAAAAAGTAAAAAACTTAAAAAACTATAAGGATAAAAAGTATTTGAAAATATAATTTTGTATAAAAACGTTGTTTTGTAAACGACTTGAAACTATGTAAAAAAATAATATTTTCAAAATCATTTACACTTCTTGAAATAATGGGTGTTCAATGATAAAAGAATCACCCTGTGTGGCCATGTAGGTACTTATATTTTTTCATGAGACAATCAGTATAAATTTCCTATGACAAATAGGGGTCACATAAATTGTATGAGAAATGTTTTCCAGGGGCATTGCCCCGGATGCTCGGGTGGATGTTGCGGCACTGGTTGTGTAATTGATTATTTTGGTTCTTTTATTATTTTATTGACTTTAAATATTTATTTTAATCAATATTATCATATTATGTGAGTAGTGAGTCAAAACTCCGGTGTTATCTATTGGTTGTTTAACGCCTTAGGGCCGTTCTTACAATGTCCGGTAAAGTGTCGGTTAACGCTAACCGACTGATAACAGATTTTATTACCGGCAGAATTCTTCCGGTTAAGTGTCGGTTAACTTTAACCGGACGTCGTAAGAACGGCCCTTAGTTATTTTGTTATATTATAATATTAATAAGTATTTTTTGAATTTTTTTTATTCGAAACGTTTTTTTGTGAAGATTGTGATCAATAAAACTATTTTTATAAAATTATTCTTTTTATCAATTACAATTTGTTAATTAACTAAGTAAAAGATAAATTGTTTCCTACCAAGTAACAAATCGTTACCTATTATAATGTGTATAGTACCTATACTGTATATGTCTGTGTACATTATAATTTATAATAATCAAATTCCCATTTCCCGCATCATAGGCGTGCGCACGGGGGCAGCAGAGGCAGCATATGCTGCCCCTGGACTTTCTTTGGGGCCACCGGGGCCGGCAAATATTAAATAATGGGCCTCGGTAAAATTATATTTCCACAAAGGATTTTTTTGTTTTGATAAACTATAGATAAATATTTTATATATAGGCTTGTAGAAAAGTACACATTTAGTGGCTTAGTACCTTACTGTACTTACAACCTTTTATCCAAAAAAAACAAATAACCAATATACAATTTTAATTTTGATGTCCAATAGTAAAAAAAGTAAAACTATGGGCTGGTTTTAATGGTGAATTTGAAAAATGGGCCGAATTAATCTCTTGCTGCCCCTGAAACCGGAGGCTGCGCACGCCTATGTCCCGCATTTGCGTCAAGTAGAACAAAATAAACGCTTCTAGTTTTTAAAAAGAATGCGAAAATATCCATCTGGATCGGTTAGGTTATAAATTATAATTATATAATAATCTATGGCAAATGACACGAACAACGATTCCAATATGTACTCACAAATTTCGTACCATTCTGGTTATAAAGCTATTTTAACAAATGTCATTAATCTCAATAATACATGACAGTCATATTATCATGTCTCAACTCTCAATACACGACAGTCATATTATTAACATTTCTCAATACTTCCAGATTGAAATTTTGGATAGGAGATGAAGACATGCGCTGCATTTCCCTGGCGAAACCCTGGCGGTTTCTGACTATAGACAATATTATACATTCGTATGGGGTACCTACGTGTTTCGCAGGAGGATTGAGGAATAAATATTTAATTAAGTTTTTACCTACAACTCTTTTGAAGTAGTAGACTTAAAATATTTATTTATAGTCAGGCAATCTGATACCCACCAGACGTGAATCCCGGAATAAAAATCCCCAGAAAAAAAATCACCAAAGCAACTTTTTAAAAGCGGAATGACTATAATACTATATGTATATAACTTGACTAACTCACTGGACACTGACTGATAAACGTTGAGCCTGAACAATGATAGATCGAGGCTTGCAATTTACACGGTACATTCGTACTACAAATTTAGTGTGCAATAAGAAAGCATTTTACAGATAAAAAAGGTTCGCGGGCCCATAGTTGGGTGGGCCTTGGCATAGAGCAATAAAATGTGAAATTGGGAAAATACAAGTTATAAAATAATTATTTACACGTAATATTTGGTATCTATACATTATTATAAGTTATAACGGTTACGGTTAGTACATCTTCAGTTCCTATTAAGTAACTTTGATTTGTGTGACTGTGCGAGGGAGGCCGTAATTGTCCGGCTATGGAAATCAATGCGACTATTATGGAAATCGTTAAATCTAATCAAGGGAACTATAAAATTTGCTTAAATGGTTGTACTTATGTACACCAAAAAGACTGTAAGTTTTTCAAGAGATGGAGGTGTGCAAAATATAGTTAATTTAAATGTTTAGCTATTTTAAAAACATCGCTTCAAAATAGTAATCCAAGGGAGATCCATGAACAAAATCATTCTGCCGATAAAAATGGTAAGATTTATTTTAATTTAATAATTTACATATACAGGGTGTCCCGTGAGGATTTACCTATTAGCCGTAGAGGGGGACTCGCCGCCCGGACAAAAACCGGTTTTTTGCCGTTTTACTTATTAATTAAAAAAATTATTAAAAATCAGGAAATTAATGAAATTAAAATGTTGAAACGTCAATATTTTCAGAAAAATGAACTCTACAAAATGGCAATCTTCAATATTTTTTTAAATAATTAATTAAAAAAATAATTTTTTTAACTTTTTTAACAAAACATAAAAAAAAAACAAAAAATTAGTTATTTGTAGTGCTTACCTCTGTGAGTCTTAATAAGAAAACAGAATTACGATATCTCTATTATTTCAGGAGATATCGCAATGAGTAAATCCTCACGGGACACCCTGTAGTTAGGACACTTATATATTTATGTGTTATAAATATGTACTCAAATTTTAATTATTTTGTCATAACTATAAAAAAAAAAGGTTAGGTTAGGTTATAATTTGAGCTGGTGGGTAAAATAATACATAATATTATGTTAGTAATTACTAATTACTGATTACTAGGGCTAAAGTAGGAATAATAAATTAATGTAGCACGACAAATTATTGTCAATAACAATTTTATCATAGGCCTCGATAAGTACCTATTACTGAATTAGTAACTAATTAGTACGTAAATATTTTATGTTTGCAAGAATGTTTGAGGGGGCTTGGTGGGCTTTGGGGGGGCTAAGCCTCCCCCCGATTTCCGCCAATGAATATAAATAAGAATTGTTATTATTTATAGCTATAGCTGCCATAAAAGTTAAACAAGAAATAAAAAATAAAGCTTTATCCTCAAATGATGCACTCGGCCAAATATTTTCGGAGTTAATCGGGAATCTGGATGTCGATGTTTTAGCTAAATTACCCAAGGAAGAATATTTAAAACGTAGTATTAGATATCATCGAAGTTTTCATGATCCGAACGAACCTCAAAATATCAAAGAAATTGTTATGGATGGTATAAATTTTTTTTTTTAATTATCTTAATTAGAAAATAAAATCCTATACTTAACAAATGATATCTATTTTATTACAGGTGAATGGGCATTATTGGGTAATAATAGACTATTATTGAGGGATAATGGTCCAGACTCCAGAGGCATCTGAAAGGATAATTATATTTGCAACAGATGAACACTTGCAACTGCTTTCAGAATCAGATTATAGTCAAATATTATCTAAAAGTTCAAGAAAAAAATATTATAAGCTCAACGATTATATTAGAATAGACAGTTGTTACTTGTTTATACCATACCTATAGAGTAATCGCTTCTCTCGGAATTAATGTATTCTGTAATGTTGAAAAGTATATCAATAACATTTGTCCAACCATAGAAAGTGTAATAGCAACAAGAAACATTTTGTTAGAAAATAACCCAATACCTAGTAAATACTGACTTTGTCGGTAAAATATATGTTTGCGATTGAATGACAAAATAGATAAAATAACCAATCAGGGGCGGATTGGGGAGATATTTCGGCCAGACTACACGTTTGGCGAGATATGAAATTTATAAAACTTTATTCGTAGTGTATATACATTATACATCGATATCAAATTTATTTTTATTTTTGAACAGTTTATGTTTACACATTTATAATAGTCCAAACTCCAAGTACTTATATAACACAGTAAAAGTGAATAATTTAAATTACTAATGTTACGATTTTTGTATTTAATAAGAAAGGTTATTACAATATTACCTATTCAATAATATTTAATAATGCGTTTTTAGACTTAAATAAAAGCTTATAATTAACTTCCACTTAATATACCTGATAGGTAAATTAACAGAATCAACATGCAAAATGTATGTGTATCTACTATCTTTTTATTTTCTAAAAAAATGTTTTACTGTGGTTTATTCATAATAACATTATGTAGGTACTTTAATTCTAAACAACCAGAAAAATTATATAGTCTTGTTTTTCTTTAGTATTTTTATGTAATATAATATTGAGTAAAATGTTTTGTCTCCGTCTTAGTACAATCTAACAAATTATAGTTCACTATCTGTATTCACCAATCTGCAGCCGAATGCCGAAACGATATAATAATAATATTTAGCTGTAGTAGGTACCTAAATAGTAAATATTATAAAAATTATTGTATACCTACGTAATGTTACTTCCCTATTATTCAATAATTTATAAATTCGCCTAAACGATCGGTTAATTTCTCGCCCAAATGATATATTCTTTACTCAAGTTAATTTTGGGTTATTCGCCCAAACGAATGACGCTCAAATTTTTTACACCCAAAATACGTGTACTTCTGCATTAGTACCTATACTGAATTAAAAAGTGAATGAAACAATTTTCGGAAATTTAAACCCTGTCTAGTTTTCGATATTACAGTGCTTACTGCTCAAATCAGGTTGACTTATTCTATTTTCTACTTCCGCGGGATGTCAAGTAAAGTAGACTTTTTCCGAAGTTTATCGTTACCTAGAGTCGATCACCCAATGTGGTTTTACATAACATATCAAGGGTTGTTTTCGATTTTAACTGTCCTAAACTCCTAACAATAGTGACCCCGCTATATTACATTTGCTATTTTTGCTTTTCGAGAAATAATATATTTTTGCTTCCTGTCTCTCATCGTTGTGTCAGCAATCCACCGTAGGTAGATTGCCTACCTGTTATACCTACTATTGCATACTGTCCGCAATCCAATTTGTATTATCTTATTTTGAAAAATCGGAAAAACATTCAAATTTACTGGGCTGGTACCTAATAGGAATTTAAGAATACATAGTTATTTGAAAAAGCAGACCACCGGGAAAACTCCCGAATTCCCGGTGGCCCAATCCGCCCCTGTAACCAATTCTAATAATATTTAAAAAAATTTCAATATAAATATATTTATATGTAGTAGGTACAGTATAACTGTTTAGCTTTAATAAATTATTTATTAGATACACAGTCTTGTGGGCAACAAAATAAATTCGTAATTCGTAAGCTAGAATTAAATTAATTTGCCTCTCATCTCTAAAAGACTGCCGACTAGAACAGTGCTGTACGCCTGTACAGAAATGATAAGAATTTATCAATTAAATAATTAACATCCGAAAGTATTGAGTGTTTTAATAAAAGGGAAAGCACTAACCAGTATCATTTTTTCTTTGTTTAAACTTCTTCCCGTATTTCACTCAGTATCCATTGACCATACTTCAGTAGTTAAAATTAAGATATTTATAACAAGATTATAAGGAATAACATTATAACTGTTCGAAACTTAATTAAATTTTTTTTTTTAAAGTTACTTAATATAAATAACAAAACAATGAAGTATGATGATGAGGAATTTTCTTAAAATCAAAATATTTGAAATAACATCTTACACACACAAATATTATTTATAATGATTATAAATGTCACACATGTATTCACACACTTTTGGACTTAAAGCGAATAAGGATGCAGGTAATTGATTTAAGACAATTTAGAAAACCAATAGACAAAATGACATGTATAATAAATTACAAACATTTATTTTTCAAATATTTTTAGAGAATTTAATAAAATTATAATCCTAATATTTTGGCCTATAAGACAACTTTGGATATTTAGGAATGTCTAAAAAAAATTCCATATAAGTAAATAATTATCAAATAAATACATTTAATTATATTCTCTTTTCATTCAGTCAGTATAAAAAAATTATAAATCAAAAGCAGACGTGCTATGATAAAGGAATGCTTTGAGCTGTAAATAACTTACTGGAATGTAGGCCTAATGCATCAGATTTTTTTTTATAATTTTGATTCTTATTTAAATAAAAAATACAGGAAAATTTAAATAAAAAATACAGTTTTTTAGGAAAATAAATATAAAAGTATTTAGAAGGAGCAGTGTCTGTGCATAATGGATGGGCCTGATTCGTTGTATTTTTGTTTGGAGATGGTAGATGGTAGATTTGTGAAATAAGACAAAGATGCCAAGATGGATCCTCCAATCCATACGGAGTATCTTCGCTCCGATGGAGCAATTATCTTAATTTTCATTGTAGATGGGGCCAAAACAGTTATTTCTTTCTGCAATCTGTCGACAATACCAGGGTACATGGTGGTACCTCCAGACAATACAATATTTGCAAATAGTTCCTTCCGGAACTGCGGATACATTTTCATAATAGAGTTAACTGAAGTCTCGTGGATACCGCGTGCCTCCATTCCCAAGAAGGAAGGTTGGAATAGAGCTTCTGGGCAACGGAATCTAGAAATAAAATATAACTATTAGAAATCATTTGCAAATAACGAATACAAAACAAATATATTTGGTATAAAAACTACCTTTCATTTCCGATTGTGATAACTTGTCCATCGGGCAATTCATAGGATTTCTCCAATGAGCTGGATGAAGCAGCAGTAGCCATTTCTTGTTCGAAGTCCAGAGCAACATAGCACATTTTCTCCTTGATATCACGAACGATTTCTCGTTCAGCAGTGGTGGTGAAACTGTAACCACGTTCGGTTAAGATTTGCATAAGGTAGTCATTGAGATCACGGCCAGCAAGATCGAGACGAAGGGTAGCATGAGGAAAAGCAAAACCTTCATAGACTGAGACAGCGTGAGATACACCATCACCAGAATCCAAGACGAAACCAGTGGTAAGAGCAGAAGCATACAATGGAAGTACAGCTTGGTTGGCAACATATATAGCAGGGGTGTTGAATGTCTCAAACATGATCTGTAGACAAAACACGTGGTTAGCAAACTATTAAGTATTTTGTGTTTGACAACAATTTATTTTCAAATTAAGATAAATATTTACTTGTGCCATCTTTTCACGATTAGCCTCGGGGTTCAATGGAGCTTCTGTTAGTAATACTGAGTGTTCTTCTGGGGCTACACGCAATTTATTGTAGAATGTATGATGCCAAATTTTTTCCATATCGTCCCAGTTGGTAACAATACCGCGTTCAATGGGGTAATTCAAGGTAAGGATCTCTCTATTCGATTGGGCTTCATCTCCTACATAGCTGTCTTCTTGTCCCATACCGACCATGACTCTCTAATAATAAAAATAATAAGTTAATATTTGAATGGCATAAGCTTAAAAATTAAAATATTTACCTGATCACGGGGGCGTCCAACAATTGACGGGAATACGGAACGAGGTGCTGGATTTCCGGCAAAACCGGCTTTGCACATACCGGATCCATTGTCTACAACCACTGGTACATTTTTGTCAGACATATTGAATTAGTTTTTAATTTATTTAAACTGTAACAAAAAAATAAATAAATGTAGAACTTTCATAAATTTATAACCAAGTATAAACAAAAGTAAATATTTACTAATCACTTAGGTATAAATATTGTAGACAATAAATTAACTATTAATTAACCTAATAAATTGATAAGACTATGATCTAAATAGTGAAATTACTAAAAGTATAAAAAAAAAGCACAAATAGGAATATTTACAATTATAAGAATTAGATACTACTAAGTTACCAGCTCAATTCTAGTATCAAAATGACTGTGGGTACCTACTATTAAAAAAATATTTTATTTAACTAACTATAGTTGTAGGTATCATAAATTTAAAACTGTTGTACAACTATAATGTAATAATGCTGTTAATAATTTGCCATAAATTATGAGAAAACGGAAATTTGAAATAGTTTATCATGAATTCAATGACACTTAAAAAAAGATATTCAATTTAATTGGTGACTGTTAATAACATCCCAATGGCTTTAATCTACAAGCTCATAAAATACAAATTTAAAGAGATTATAAAAAAAGTAATAAAATAATACACTATTAAATTAAATACGATAGATATAGATAGATATAGTTAATGGAAAATTATAACATATCTTTATTTATCAATTTGAAAAAATTTAATAAACCGTTAGAATTACGTAAAATTCCACACAAAAATAATCACCACCACAATGTCGGTTTAGAAAAATCGAAACAAGAGAATGCAAAAGCCGTATGAAAATAAAATGTAAAAAACCCAACTATAACACGGGATAATAAATGGGTTAAACCAATCGGACGAAGATAACAATGGTACATAAACATGGCACGTACCAGAAATATAAGTAGAAATTCCAAGAGTTTGGAACACGGAGTAACTATAGTTCGAACGCCGAAAAATGTGAAAACGTAAAGTTTAAATTCGATTTAAAACTTTTAAAAGTGAAAAAATATTAAAGCCGCACGTCGATAGCGAACGAGTCGATCACCGAACAAAACTGGTCTTGTGAGAGTACCAACACCGCAGTGTTGCCGATATCCAAATTTAAAATTACCACTTTACGATGGTGAAATTACCCAACCAAGATGAAATTACCACAGTTTGGGGTAATTACCACACATTTGGCAACACTGCGAACACCGGTATAAGTAGCCTTTCTCTCACTCAATGCTTAGATCATATACTAGTATATGATCTAAGACTCAATGGTACGGTTGACGTGATACTCCTTCCCATGGACCCCGCCCTTCGCTACCGGCAACTAACACGTCATCATCGTTGTCGTCATCAACCCCACTTCCTTCCCTACTTCCCCCCTCGCCAATACACCGCACCACCAATACCGAACGCAAAATGGCTGTTAAACGCAGCACCGGGTGTGTACACGAGAATATATTATATAAATAAACGGTAACTGGAATAAAACATTTGTAGTTGGAAAACCGTGAGAAAAGACGAGTAGCCAAGTAAAAACTGTTACTATTACACTCGCCGCAACGACACCCCACCCCTTCGAATTTGGCATAAATTAATATCGTTATAATAAATTACTGAACCTACATATAAATAAATATATAGCAATATTATCCACGTTAATATCTCAAACAATAGGAAATTCTTCATTATCTCTAAACACTCGTAGTGGACAAAAACAAATGTCGATACTAAGTCCTACTGACGGTGGATTTTAATCTTTAGATGATAATAATATCGTTATTCGTTACCAATATTCACGATGTAGAGAAGATACTTCTCTACATCGTGCCAATGTTATACAATTATACGAAATTCGTACGTAGAAAAACTATAGAGGGTATTAAGCGAGGGCGTCGACCGGCGAAGGATTAGAAGGATTTTCCAACCGTTTTGGTGATTGGTTATCCCAAACACGGTAAAAAAAAATAACCTCGTAGACACGATACGGGAAAGTACGTTTGGAAAAATAATAAAAAACAATAAATAATCTATTATATTTACCTTTGAAAAAGAAATTGACGACCGTTTTGGCTGGTGGAGCTGTTGAAAACGAATTCGCGTTTCAGCGACGAGCGGTTACGGAAGTTTTTCGTAAAATGGCCATTGTCCGGACCACGGTCTTATATATAAGCAGTTCGAACCATAGAATATAGATTTATTTTTTTTCGGAAGTCCGAAACTCCGAACCTTATAAAGGCGCCTTCACAGCTCCCCGTGAAACGTGATATATTCTAGAACTGTGATTGGTTGAACCATGTGGTTATCTAATGGTTAACCATCATTTTTTTTTTTCCTATATCTTACCTATACATACCGCTTATACCGTATAGTTGAGTTCAATTCTACTCAGAGGCCAGAGCGTGTGTTTACCGTATGGTTGACAGTCGTGGTTAAGAATATTTTTACGGGAAAAAATTATATATTATCACGTTTCACGGTGAGCTGTGAAGGCGCCTTTAGAAGTGTTTGGCAAGACAACTAGAGCTTCATAGGAATCGACTTCATTACTCTCCCGTATAACACGGACAATAATATAAAACGCATGGCTAAATAACAGTTATTTAGCCATGATAAAACGCTAGATGTCATCAACTCATTAGTTTATAGGTCTATAGCTGCTGCTGTTGTCATGCCAAACAGAGTGGGAAGCGGCCGGGCTTGGGGTACTTTTCCCGAAATTTCATGGCGAGGAAAAAAAAAAGAATGATAACCCGACCTTGGCAACATCAAATAAGTTCAAATTTTCAATTCAGAATTTAGTATTCCTAAATGTACCACCTTGAAAAAATACATATTAAAATAAGTATTTGTTCCCGCCTTATTGCTTAATGCTTTTGTTGTGTTTTGTAACGGTTTTTGGCGGCGGTTTTCCCAGTTTCCCATAATATGAGCGGATGAACGGATGGACACTGGACAGCCATTGAACGCTTGAACTTTGCCGTACCGACTCTCGTTATTCGCATGACAAAATAGAACTAAATCTATTTTGTCATGGTTATTTGTTAACTACTGCCTAGTGCCTACTGCTTACCTACTGTGCTTACTGTGCTTACTATTGTTTACCGTTTACGCATTATTGTCGTTCTTTAAACTTTGAACATAGTTCATACCGAAAACCCAGCTCGTGCTTTCGCAGTGACGTAAGTATTTAAAATTTTACTTTTGGGGTGCGGAGTTATGTTATAAAAGTGAAATAATTTTATAAAACATGCCACTGATAATTACAAATTATTAAATATTAATATAACTCTATATTAAGTATTATGTGTACAATTAATGATTACCTATGTCAGTTTTTCTAATGTCAATATTGAAGTTAAATACTAGAGTTTTGGGTATTCGTACCTTCGACAGAATTATGCAAATTGATTGTAACAAGGTACAAATTATTTAAATTTTTCATAATTGCAGATTTTCAAACACAGAATGCTGCTCTCAAAAATTTTCCAAATAAATTTCATGCAGTAAAAACCATGGACCTTGTTGTTAGTCATTGGCTGGCGATGGCTGTTTTGATGACACTCCTGAAATACTGAACTTAACCATAACTGTTGTATTACATGGTTAAACATATTTTAATGGATATTTGATGTGTTGTTCAAGGCTACTAATTGTGCAAAAAAATGGGATTATTGTAGGACGACTATAGATCAAAACTTAGTCACTAATTAGTATTTTCAAACCATTCTGGGTTTTGTAGGCCCTTATTTTAAGTTAAAAAAGTATTTAAATATTTTTCAAAGTCAAGCATAAATCATAATATTATGTCTTAAATTTAATTTTAAGATATGATATCATATAAATAATAACCCCTATAATTTAATTAACATAAAGTTTATATTTATACTAATACCAGAATAAAAAACCTAAGCCACTTTTTACTTTTTTTAAATAATATGTTTACAAATTTTGAATAGACCTTAATTGGTAGAGGTAGTGTTGTACAAGAAAATAATAATATAAATAAAAGTGTTTGTGTGTTAACAAACTGTACAGTCTTGTTTGGAAAAGTTGAGTTTCTGTTCACTATTTTTAACTTTACTATGTGTGAACTCCTCAGTTCAATATATTTTGAGGTAAATATTTAATGATGGCGATGATAGGAATTCATTTTTTGGCCTGTTAAGGAGGATCTACAATAGGTATTGCCTATTTTTTGATGATGTATCAAATAACTTTAAACTTATGCATAATTAATTTATTGTGGAAAACATCAAAAATAATATTAGTAATTAATCTTATGTTGATTACCTAAATTATGTATGTTTTGAACTGAAACAACTTCAGTATAATATTATGTAAAGTGAATACTTATTTATGTATTATGTTATAAATCGTTCATATAACGATTGTAATATTATGTAAATGTAACCAAAAAAATTATTATATTAATTAAATATTTTATGATATCTGTGATATTAATTAATTCAATTTTTTATATAGATCTGTCTATCTGCAATTTGCCTGCGATACACCTGCGATTCACTTGTGATTTACCTACGATTTACCTAAGTATTTAAAACTTTGAACATAGTTCATACTAAAACTTTGAACATAGTTCATACCAAAAACCCAGCTCGTGCTTTCGCACTTTATTGTTAAAACGCTTTTGTTTTGTTGTTACTTATTAAATTTGTTTTCAATTTCTTACCTACTATAAACATAACTACTCTTTTTTTTTTTTTTTTTTTTTTTTGTATTTTTGGTGTTCTGATTCTAGTTATATATTAATAATAATGGACAACGAGGAAGTATTTGCTCTCCCAGATCATTTGGTTGACCATGACTACTTCCTGCCAGTTGTATATGAAGATGATCATATACCACGTGAAGAAGAAGTAGAGGAATTGGTAGAAGAAGAAGAAGTAGAAGAATTGGACGAAGAAGAGGAACCAATTGTCAGAGTGTCGGAAACATACAGATTGATTCCTGGGGTTCATAACCGATCGAAGATATATGTTGACAACTTGGGATTCAAGTATTACAAACGAGAAACTAAAGGACAACAC